ATTAAAATACCAATGGCATATTTCACAGGCCTAGAACGAACTCTCCAAAAATTCTTCTGGAATAAAAAAAGACCCCGAATAGCTGCAGCGTTCCTGAGAAAGAACAAAATAGGTGGGATCTCAATACCAGATATCAAGCTGTATTACAAAGCCACTGTTTTCAAAACTGCATGGTATTGGCACAAGAACAGACATATAGATCAATGGAATAGAATATAGAGCCCAGAAATTGGCCTGAATCAATATGCTCAATTAATATTTGACAAAGGAGGCAAGAACATACAATGAAGTCAAGATAGTCTCTTCAATAAATGGTGTTGGGAGAATTGGATGGATACATGCAAGAAAATGAAACTAGACCACCAACTTACACCATACACAAAAATAAACTCAAAATGGATAAAGGACTTAAATGTATGACGGGAAACCATAAAAATTCTAGAAGAATCCAAAGGCAACAAAATCTCAGACATATGCCGAAGCAATTTCTTCACCAATACAGCTCCTAGGGCATTGGAAACTAAAGAGAAAATAAACAAATGGGACTACATCAAAATAAAAAGCTTCTGCACAGCAAAAGAAACCATCAACAAAACAAGAAAGCCCACTGCGTGGGAAAACATATTTGCCAATGTTATATCTGATAAGGGCCTAATCTCCAAAATTTATAGGGAACTCATACAACTTAACAAAAGGAAGATAAACAACCCAATCAAAAAATGGGCAAAGGACCTAAATAGATACCTTTCAAAAGAGGACATTCAGAAAGCCAAGAGACATATGAAAACTTGCTCAAAGTCACTAATCATCGGAGAGATGCAAATCAAAACAACAATGAGGTACCATCTCACACCTGTCAGAATGGCTGTCATCAACAAATCCACAACCGACAAGTGCTGGAGAGGATGTGGAGAAAAAGGAACATTTGTGCACTGCTGGTGGGAATGCAGACTGGTGCAGCCACTGTGGAAGACAGTATGGAGTTTCCTCAAAAAACTACAGATGGAACTCCCATTTGACCCTGTGATCTCACTTCTAGGACTATATCCCAAGTAACCAGAAACACCAATCAGAAAGGATATATGCACCCCTATGTTCATAGCAGCACAATTCACCATAGCTAAGATCTGGAAACAGCCTAAGTGCCCATCAGTAGATGAATGGATTAGAAAACTGTGGTACATCTACACGATGGAATACTATGCTGCTGTAAAAAAAGAAGGACCTCTTACCATTTGCAATGGCATAGATGGAACTGGAGAGCATTATGCTAAGTAAAATAAGCTAGTCAATGAAGGAAAAACACCACATGATCTCACTCACTCATGGATAATAAAGACCAGTATAAACTTATGAACAAAAATAGATACAGAGGCAGAGCTGCCTCGAACAGACTGTCAAACTACAGTGGGAAAGCCGGGAAGGGTTTGGGGGGGGGGGGGGTAGTGGCGGGGTAAGAGATCAACCGAAGGACTTGTATGTATGAATATAAGCATAACCAATGGACATAAGACACTGGAGGGTAGGGGATGCCGGGGGATTGTTAAAGGCGGGGAAAAAAGGAGACATATGTAATACTCTTTGTAATACTTTAAGCAATAAAACAATAAAAATAAAAAATAATAAAAATAAAACAAAAGGTTGTCAGGTGATATGAAGCAGCATGAACCTACGTGTATTCCAGCGAGTGGAAAGAAAAAATTTCCTACGAGAGCCTGCAGAGTTTGTGCCACCCATAGAAAAAGGATTGAATCTAGATACTTATGTAAATTTTGTTTGGTCCCTCTTCATAGAGGAAAATGTTTTACACAGTACCATATGTTAAAAAGTACTAGGAACTTTAATTGTTTGTTTTTGTAAATAAAAATGCTATAATTATTGAAGAAGAAAAAAAAAGAAAGAAAACCGGGTGCCAGCAGCCAGGGGAAAGGAACGCCTATTACACGAATCTCTTCATTCAACAAGCCTCTAGTCTACAATAATAATCTGCTTTGTGTAGATAATTACTGCTGTGTTGCTGACAATTACCTGAAAGAGAAGTTGGGATGCTTCACTGGGCTGGGAAAAAGTTTAGCTACATCAGAAAGCAGGTCTAATCAATCAAGTTTATTCTATAAAAGGCTAAGTTGACTCACGCATTCACAATACATATAAAGCTCTCACTGGCACCAATCGCATGTGTGTGTTTTGATCTGTCATTGTCAATCATGAATTTGGTTGACATTTCTGTTATATAGAAAGGGTGAATAGTGATATTAAAATATTTATTCTAATTAAAAATAAATTAAATAAAATAATAAAAAAATAAAAATGGGCAAAGGACCGAAATAGACATTTCTCCAAAGGGTACATACATATGATACATATGATACAGCAGTCATATGTATCATATGTATCTTTTTTTCAAGATACATATGAAAAAAATGCTCAATATCACTGATCATCAGAGAGAAGTAAATAAAACGATGATGAGATATCACCTCACACCTGTCAGAATGCTAGCATAAACAAATCAACAAATGACAAGTGCTGGCTACGATGTGGAGAAAAGGGAACCCTAGTACACTGCTGGTGGGAGTACAGACAGCCTTTATGGAAAACAGTATGGAGTTTCCTCCAAAAACTAAATATGAAACTGCCATTTGGCCCAGTAATACTATTTCTAGGAATATATATTAAGAAACTGGAAACACCAATCAGAAAGAATGTATGCATCCCTATGTTCATAGCAGCACAATTTACAATAGCTAAGATCTGGAAACAGCCTAAGTACCCATCAGTAGATGAGTGGATACAAAAGCTGTGGTACATGTACACCATGGAATCTATGCAGCAGTAAAAACTTAAGGATCTCTTACCCTTTGAGACAGCATGGAGGCACCTAGAGAGTATTATGCTAAGTGATATAAGCCAGTCAGAGAAAGAGCAGTATCATAAGATCTCACTCATATGTGCAATCTAATGAACAAAACAAACTGATGAACAAAATAGATCCAGAGACATAGAAGCATGGAACAGACTGTGGAATTTCAGAGGGAAGGTGGGGATGGGGGAGGGTGTGTGGGAAGAGATCAACCAAAGAACTTGTATGCATATATGCATAACCCATGGACACAGACAACAGGGTGGTTGGAGGCCTGGGGCAAAGGGAGAGGGTGGGCTAGAAGAGGTCAATGGGAGAAAAAGGGGGACATACATAATACTTTCCATAACAAAGATTTTTTTTTTAATGAAGAAACTAAGTCTATTGACTTGCCTGCTGCCTCACAGCTAGGAAACAATAGGCTAGGACACAAATCAATGTCTCTGAATTTCAATCCAGTGTAAAAGTGACTTCAGGCTTAGCAGCCAGGGATTAAATATCACATTTAATCTTTTGTAGCAAAATTAGCTTCCTGTCGCAATTTCTTGGTGGGCACATTGCCTGCTCAGATTAAATTCTAATTGTATTTTCTATTTGTAAAGCACTTTAAGCTTTTTGAGGCACTCTTTGATAAGTCTCATCTGACTTTGAGGCTTGTTTTGTTTGAGAGTTGAAGGTCTTGAGATGAGATTCAAAGCAGCTATAGGACAGTGGTAAAGACAATGGCTCTGGAGTAAGACTGCCAGGGTCCATGTCCTGGTCTGCCTTACTAGTGATCTTTGGAAAGTTACTTAATCTATATTACGTGAGTTTCCTCATCTGTGAAGTGAAGGTAAATAGTGCAGTGCCAGGCCACTACTAAGCGGTTGGTAAATATTAGCTATTCCTATAGTGGGAACGATACCTGAGTCTCAGGAATACCAAACACGGGGTTATATAGACTTTGGAGCCCCAGATGGGACTGGGTACCAGGAGAAGTTTAAGGCATCACCTCTTCATATAGGCCAATCTAACCAAGAGATTACAATGCCCTAGTTCAGGACCTGGGAAATGTCAGTGAGCTGGCTTCTGTAACCTGGTAAAGGCATAGGAAGAAAGGGGGTTACGTTTGAACTATTACCCAAGTCATCTGTTGTATGGCAGGTGCTCCAGGTTGACTTTGTCACTAGTTATGCCTCTGATAAGTCTTAATTATGTGCCAAGGAAAAAAGACTGAATTGCTGCCATTGATACTCCCATAGCCCCTCCACTCCACAGAGCCACCTTGGACTGTGGACAAAGAAAATGTCTCCAACGGGCAGAGAAAGTCCAGCCAGTGGACTGGAAGCATTGGAATTATTAGGAATCCTTGTTACAACTTTAGCACTCCTACCCCCCTAGCCCCCTCCCCCCGCCCACACACACACACACACACACACACACACACCCTGCCGCCAGACCTTCAGAATCAGACTCTTTCTCAGGGCCCATCTAGGAATTCTGACCATGAGACTCAGGTCAAGAGGAGCATATTTTCCCTGTTGCTATCGTAGGTCAGATGGATGAGCTAGAAGGAACCTTAGAAGTCACCTTGCCCTATCCACTTTGACTCAGTGGATAGAGCATTCACCCTCAGATTGAAGGGTCCTGGGTTTGATTCAGGTCAAGGGCACATACCTCCATGGCAGGCTTGATCCCCAGCCCTGGTCAGGGTGCATGCAGGTAGCAACCAATCAATATGTCTCTCTCACATTGATGTTTCTCTCTGTGTGTCTCTCCTTCTCGCTTCCACTCTCTCTAAAAATCAATGGAAAAATATCCTGGAGTGAAGATTAACAACAACAAAAAAAGTCATCTTGTCCAATTTTTACATTAGACTTGAGGAAACTAAGGCTTGAGGTCGCATAGCTAACCATTTGTATAGAGAGCATCCGATTGTTCAGACTGGAAGTGAAATCCTTTGTGTTTCCAGTCCAAGAACCAGTCCTCTGTGAAATTTAAAACAATATTGTATCCCTCTCAGCACTTCACCCACAGGTAAGCACATAGTAGGCACTCAAATGATACATGTCCACTGAAAAGAGGGAGGAAGGGGACAAAGGACGAGGAAGGGAGGACAGCAGGTGTCCGGTCAACTTTCACTACAAATTACACTTACCCACGGTGTAGTAATCTCCATCAGAGGCTTTCTTGGGCTTCCATAAAGTGAGAAAGTTTTCAAAGTAAGCTGCCAAGTGGATGCTGGTCATGGGAACACCAATGGACCAGAAATACTCCTCCACCTCTCCCTTCCCATCGAAGTGATCAACTGCCAACTTCCCGCCAGTCAGACGCTTGACGTTCTCCAGGCCGCTGAACACCACGTGCTTCACACCCAGGTGCTTGGTTACATCTGCCACCAGCTTTCCCTAAGGAACAACGTAAATTCTTTATATAGATCACTGTATTTGCATATAGACAGGAAGGCAGGTGCTGCTTTCCCTTCCCCGCATCCATTTCTTATTGTCCTCCATAGAGAGGGAGCTCTTCAGCATCAAAATATATTCAAGTTACCATCTGAGAGGCCACCAGTATTGGTGGGCAGAGGCTCCACCATGACACAATACTGAACCTCATCAGAAGCTAAGAGTCAGCCTAGTGGGAACCAGCAGGAACATCTGGTCCCTTCCTCTAGGCCAGTGGTCGGCAAACTGCGGCTCACGAGCCACATGCGGCTCTTTGGCCCCTTGAGTGTGGCTCTTCCACAAAATACCACATGCGGTCGCACACATACAGTGCGATTGAAACTACATGGCCAATGTGCAGAAGTCGGTATTTTGTGGAATAGCCACAATCAAGGGGCCAAAGAGCCGCATGTGGTTCGCGAGCTGCAGTTTGCCAACCACTGCTCTAGGCTATCAGTATCTTTGGATCAACTGCCACATTTATTTATATATGAGCCTCAGGGATACTTGAGAAAACAATATTCATACAGTGTAATAATGTTTTCTAGTAATTAATTATATCTGCACACCATTTGGATATTGAGGGCACACACACAGACACACATTCTCTTTTTTGTATTTCAGTTCCAAATTTTATAAAACACCTTCATCTCTCTCTTCTCTCTTTCTCTTGTTACAGTATTTACCAGGCGACCGAAAAATACGCAGGAGTACTGGAGGCACAGGAAATACCCATTTATTTTCAGAAGTTTCGCATGTACTAGTACAAGATGCAGGGGAGACTGTTTCTCTCCAAATCCTGAGTAAACCAATCGGGAAGAAGCTTTCCCTTTATACCCTTTGGTTTCTTTGTCCCCCAAATATGGGATGGGGCTTCCGGACCTTTCGCGGGCTTTGCAAAAAGCCCCATGTGTTGGGATGGGGCCATGAAACCACACCTAAAGGCCTGGCCTGGTGCCAGCACTGATAACCCCCTCCGGGGGGTTGTTCATGGTTTGTGGCCTCTGTAAAATGGGAGTAGTACTTAGGTAAACTGGTCTTGCAAGACCAATTTGTGAAGAAAGGGGCAGTGACTTAATTATATCAAGAGTGTACATTAGGTTACTGGCACAGATTCAGACTGCAACCCACCCCCCCCCCTTATTTTCCGCATCACTCTCTCTCCCCTCTTTCTCTTGCTCTCTTTTTTCTTTCTTTGATTGTTTCCTTCTCTTTTTTCCTTACAAAACCCCATGTAGCAAGTAGAGAAGACATAATTAATCTGGTTTAGTAGAGGCAGAAAGTGAGCAGAGAAGTGACTTTGTACTCCTGGATCTCATAGTAAGTGAGTATCAGAATTAGAACCCAGAGTTCCTAATATGAGCTCTTCCAAAGTTTATCACTAAAAGGCAAGCTGTAAATGGTATAATTAATTTAACAGCTATTCCTCAAATAGCTGAATCCTACTCTTATTTTTTTGAATTATGCCATTACTGTAAGAGGCTGATCCCATTATTACATTTAAAAAATTTAATCTTCACATTTTTCCAATTTATACACAAACATCATTTCAAATAGTATTGTCAAGGGGGGGGGGATTGAATTTATAATGACAATGATGTTCCCTGAGCCCTCATATGATAACTGCTCTCAAGAAGTAACCACTTTCATCTCTTTTAGCTGTTTCTTTATTTCTAAATAACAGGTTTGCACTAATAATGCTTGATTTTTTTCAGTTTATGATATCACCTATTAAATTCTTACTCTGAAAGATCAGTCCTCATCTTTAATGTGCTCTCTCTCTCTCTCTCTCTCTCTCTTTCTCTCTCTCTCTCTATCTATCTCTGACACAGACACACACAGCCCAACACCACCATCACACATATATGCAATTCCCTTTTTTTCATATTCCCAATATCATAATGTTTGGCTAGATCAAAAAAGTAGTGCCTACCACACAGCTGAAATTGAACCAAGTAATATTCTATGGTTACATTGTTTTCTACAAACTTTTATTTTTCCTGTTGTTAATCACTGTGGGTTTATTTGCTTGTTTTAGTTTTTTTCTATGTACCCATTATTAAGTTCTCCCCAAATTCTCTGCCAGAAGTAAAAATATACTCATTACATTTTGTTCTTTCCTTTTCACTTTGGAGTTACCTTAATTTGTGGGGTACCCCTTCACATGCCATCTACAGACAAATGACCGGCTCCATTGCACAGACATCCTCAGATCTCCATGGTCTTGAGACGTTAACATGTGCTATAGAACACTGACTTCACAATCAAAGAAATACTTCAAGTACATATATTTCATAAATACCAGAGAGATTTTGTGGAGTGAGGCAATTTTTGCTCAGACTTAAGGCCCATCCCCTTCAAGGGAGAGCAGAGCAGCCAGGAAGGGTAAGAGGAAAGGGCTCAAAAGTGTTCCCACCTGATACACTTCTTCCTCTTTGCTGTGATGTTCCCAGTAGTTGGTCACTAGAAAGACCCCATAGGCATCTTGTAAGGCGACCTTCACCAATGCTTTATCATTCAGGTCCCCTTTTACCACCTCAGCACCAAGTTCCTGGAGCACCAGTGCTTTTGGTTGAGTCACATTCCTGGTCACTGCTCTTACAACAAACTTTTTGCTCTCCAAAAGGGCCCTGGCCACAGAGCCACCCTGAGATCCTGCAGCATTGGGGAAGAAGAAACAGAGGAAGGTTCAGGAGAAATGTTCACTAAAAAATAACTGCTCAGGAAGTACCACCATTCAGAATACAGCTGTTATAATAACTACTTCAGGAGGCATTCCCATTTTTGCAACAGTAGTTTTCAAACTAGGTTTCTCACAGCCGCATCACAGGCAGCTTTGAAAAATCTATGGGGCAGAGAAAGAATGGGAGAGGCCTAAGGTAACCATTGCTGGAGCTCCAGGGCTGCCCAGCAGAGCCTGAGTGACAGATGAATGGATTACTCTGACACACATTTGCTGTGGAAGAGAGGCTAAGGGATGGCCCGGCTATAGCAACCAGGCAGCCTCGACTGCCTGCCTCATTAGGCTTTTATTGGCATTTTTATCTTTAGGTACAATCAGTAGGGTAAGTAATCTTGGGAGGACACAAGTGTTTCCATTGTCCTCAAGGCAAGGGCACCCAAAGATTAGGCATCAGGTATCCAGTAAACACCCAAGGGTCTGCACATTCACAGACTTGTTTGGAAAGGTCAAGGAATAATTAGGGGCACCACCTTCAACACTCCCCTAAGTCTCCCCTAAGTTGGAATTGTGATAAACAGGGCAGGCGGCCTTCCACACACTTTCCTTTTCTCAGAATGCCCATCTTACAAACTTTCCAACCAAGTCTCGTGTGCTCTCCAACAACACTGAGACCAAGTGAGCAGGGTGCCAGACCCTATAGCCCAGATTCAGCTGGGAAAAACTATTTTTATCTGGTTATAGATTTTATTTTGAGGTCTTCACAAAATTTTCTTTTCAAAAGAGCTTCCTATTTTATTTTTAAGTTGAAAACTTGCATAAATTTCTTTTTTATGGCATTCAAAGTCATTGATTATATTATCATTACTTGCCTAATTTATGTACTCTACAAATATTTACTGAATACTCTGTCATATATGCCCGGTACTGTGCTGGGTTACTAACATTTGGGATTCTCTATCAAATTGGTTGTATATCTGTCCTGAATATGTTTTTCGCGCCTTTAAAACTACCTTCACCTTCCACACCCTGCTTAGTGCCCTAGGAGTTTGACTTGTATTGGACTCCATCAATGGGCTCTCTTCATGCTCTCAGTTTTGGTCTGGCCAACAAGAGGCATCAGCAGCAGGAAATCCAAGAACAGGAAGAAAGGTGGCTATCTCCATGTTGGTACTCTCCCTGGGTTTTGGTCATCTCTCCTTCCCTTTGCTCCTTTCTCTTATTGCTTACTTATTCATGATTGGTCTCTTCCCTTTCAACCTTCCCTTTCAAACTTTATTTTTTCCTTGGCTTCTCTGAAAGATTGTGGCATTTGTTTCATGTGAAACCCCAACTGATGCACCACCAATAACCCTATAGGTTCTGCTGTCAATGAGTTCTGCTTTTGCACAAGGAGCTTCGGTTGAAGTTTAGTGATCTAGTAGTAAATATGAACATACAGCCAGTCACCAGATGTTTGAAGAAAGCCTCCAGCAAAACCAAAATAAACAAATTGATAAAGTTAAGCAGAAACAACACGGACAAGGCCCTGAGAAACCAAGATGGCGGCATAGGGTAAACACCAGAGATTGCTGCCTCACACAACCACTTCAAGAATACAACTAAAAGAAGGAAGGGACATAATCCAGAACCAAGGAAGGCTGGCTGAGTGGAAATTCTACAACTAGAAGGAAAGAGAAAAGCATACTGAGACTCAGGTGAGGTGCGGTGCGGAAGTAAAATACAGAGGTACAGAGGCGCATGTGGAGAGGGTTGGCGGCTGAGGACAGGGTTGTCTTTGTCAATGGGGAGGGAGTCTCAAGCTCTGAGCTCCAGTTCCAGGTGACTCTCTGTGGACCCAGACTCATACGGTGGAAACTGGGCTGTCAGGCATCGGTTGGAACTTGAGGGCAGCTTTCTCTCGGGGTGCTTGCAGCGATTGCTGGGACACTGAGAAGCAGGGCCTCTGAGGGCAGAACTGAGAGCAACCATAACTGCCTGCTCCACCCTGTTGATCCCCTGGGACCCTGCCCCGCCCAAGCCACAAAGGCTTTTGCATATGAAAGGCCTGGCCCTTTGCAATCTGATAATTACCTAACAAACTGCAGCTGGCCCAAGGCCCCAGGGCAACTTGCATTATGTCACAGCTGGCTCCTGCTGGATAGCCTCAGGCAGAGGCTAGATTAGCACCTCCTTAGAGATCCAGGAGCCAGTGTGACTGGTGGTGGAGTGGGACCATCCAGATTGCAGCTCCTCGGATTCATGAAGACACACTCAGGGGGCAGACTCAGTGAGCACCAAAGCCCCATTGAACCAAGTCTTGCCCCAAAGGGGTGTCTCCAGCACAGAAGTTCTCCCACTGCAGACACAGCTGATTCTCACAGCCAATTGGCCTGGAGCTCAAACCCTCCCAGAGTTACCCACAACAATCAAGGCTTAACTACAACAAGACTGTGCACAAAGACCAAAAGGGGGTGCACGAAGAGTGTCTATCTCAGGTAATTGGAGAGGCTGAGCCACTGGGCCCTATAGGACACCTAGCACAGAAAGCCACTCTATCGACACAGCGAAGCATGAAAAAATGTGGAGACAAAGAAACAGGACACAAATGACAGAAATGGAGGAAAGCAAACTACTGGATATAGAGTTCAAATCCACACTTTTAAGGTTTTTCAAGAATTTTCTAGAAACTGCTGATAAACTTAATGAGATCTACAAGAAATCTAATGAGACCCTTGATGTTGTGATAAAGAACCAACTAGAAATTAAGCATACACTGACTGAAATAAAGAATATTATTCAGACACCCAACAGCAGACTAAAGGATCGCAAGAATCAAGTCAAAGATTTGAAATACAAAGAAGCAAAAAACACCCAACCAGAAAAGCAAAATGAAAAAAGAATCCAAAAATATGAAGATAGTATAAGGAGCCTCTGGGACAGCTTCAAGCGTACCAACATCCGAATTATAGGGGTGCCAGAAGATGAGAGAGAGCAAGATATTGAAAACCTATTTGAAGAAATAATGACAGAAAACTTCCCCCACCTGGTGAAAGAAATAGACTTACAGGTCCAGGAAGAGCAGAGAACCCCAAACAAAAGGAATCCAAAGAGGACCACACCAAGACACATCATAATTAAAATGCCAAGAGCAAAAGACAAAGAGAGACTCTTAAAAGCAGCAAGAGAAAGAAACTCAGTTACCTACAAGGGAATACCCATATGACTGTCAGCTGATTTCTCAACAGAAACTTTGCAGGCCAGAAGGGAATGGCAAGAAATATTCAAAGTGATGAGTACCAAGAACCTACAACCAAGATTACTTTATCCAGCAAAGCTATCATTCAGAGTTGAAAGTCAGATAAAGAGCTTCACAGATAAGAAAAAGCTAAAGGAGTTCATCACCACTAAACCAGTATTATATGAGATGCTGAAAGGTATCCTTTAAGAAGAGGAAGAAGAAGAAAATGGTAAAGATACAAACTATGAACAACAAATACACATCTATCATCAAGTAAATCTCAAAATCAAGTGAATAAATAATCTGATGAACAGAATGAACTGGTGATTATAATAGAATCAGGGGCATAGAAATGGAGTGGACTGACTATTCTTGGGGGGGAAAGGGGTGTGGAGGATGCAGGAAGAGACTGAACAAAAATCATGCACCTATGGATGAGGACGGGGGAGGGGGGTGAAGGCAGAGGGTGGGGTGGGAAACTGGTGGAGGGGAGCTATGGGGGGGAAAAGAGGAACAACTGTAATAATCTGAACAATAAAGATTTAAATTTTTTAAAAAAGAATGTGGTGTACTGAAGAAAATGTTAAAGCATTAATGTCTTCAGAGATTGGAGAAGATTTTGCATTCAGAACACTACATCTGCATACTGCACCAATAAAAAGGGAGGGGAGGCAGGAGAGAGAGCATTCAGAAGAGAAGATGAAGTTCTCAATACTTAAAATATTATAGCAGAAATAAGTTTTCAATCGAAAAAGTCAGAGAAATCTCTCAAAATTAAAAAGAAATGGAAAATGGGAAGGAGAAAATAGAGGACCAAGCCAGGGGAATTCCAGAATTAGAGACCAAAGGAAATGGACATATGGAATTATCAAAGAATATAATTTCGCAGAGTTCAAGGATATCGAATGAGTTTCCAGATTAAGGGGCCACTGAGTGCCCAGCACAATGAATAAATTAAGTCTAACATTATTTACATAATTGTGAAATTTCAAAACACTGGGGATAAAAATATTTTGAAAACTTTGGCAGAAGTGTAGCCACTTCAAAGTGGGGGATAAAAATAGCACCAGATTTCCTTATAACATTGGAAGCAATGGAGTAATGTCATGTAGAAGGGAAATTAACTTCTGTCTAGAATTTTACACCTAACCAAATGATCAATTGGTTCTAAACATTCTACATAAAGACATTTCCAGACACTCAAGGTCTCAGAAATGTAATGCTTATGTACATGTTTTCTGTAAGCCACTGGAGGGTGTGCTCCAGCAAAATGACAAAATAAAGCAAGGAAGAAGAACCCAGGAAATAGAAAACAAACCCAGGAAAAAGGCAAAGAGAATTATTAGAATAATGGGGAAGGAAATCCTAGGAAGCTTGAAAGAAAAAAAAAAGGTAGCATTCCAGGAAGGAGGTCTCCATGGAGAGGCAAAAAAACAGAACTAAGAGATTAATTGATGTGTTTCCTCATTTTGAGATAAATCATCCAGTTTTACAGGGAGATTAGAAAAAAAGATGAGTGATAGGTAGAAAATAAAAAAAAATTAAGACAATTACTAATTTCAGGGAAAACAAGAAAGTGCACAGTACATGGCTCAAGTATTAGCAATAATGACATAGTCACTATAAAAGTCCATATTAGTCCTTCATTCATATACAGATTGTTTTAAACTATACAGGGAATATGAGCAAAAAGGAAATATGTATTTGGGACTAATGATATAGGAGAGCTAATAAATATTATCTAACATAGAAAAA